TTATACAATCAGAGTAGATGTCTAGACTTTTATTTGTTGGTTATGGGTAAAGGGTTTTTTTGTTGTTGTTGTTGTTTTTATTTTGTCTTTCACTGGTCGTGGTTAAAGAAGGATGTGGCTCTGATTCACACTGGCAGAGATCTACCTGATGACAATGACCAGGTTCTGCATAGGATAAGCCAGAAGGGACAGAAGAGGGAAGGGATAAAAAGATCTTCAGCCTTGATGTCATCATTAAGACATTGACTGACTATGCTGAAGGCTTCCCTTTCTCTAGGTGCTCTAATTATAAGATCCATTATATTTCTATACCATTAAAGATGGTCTTCACTGCACTTTCAATTAGTATATGATTTTAAAACATCCTCAATGTGGAAAGGATTTTACAGTGAGTTAGATATTAATAGCTAGAAGATGGTGGGAGAAATAAATTTCAAATAATACAAAGGACTTGACCAAAGATATTTAAAAACTGCTGTGTGTGTGTGAGAGAGAGTGTGTGTGTGTTTTGGTGTGTTGGGTAAGGTGTGTTCAAAGAAGGCTTTTTTATATAAGGCACCTGCAGTAGAAGAGAGCTTACTCTTATATCTTCTTTCTAATTGAAAAAGATTAGACAAAAAAAAGACCTTGTTCCTAAATGAAGAAGGCGAAGAAAAGTAGTACTCAGGGGGAGAGTTGAGTGCTGTTTATCCAGTGGCAACATGTACTTAATACCAATGTTTCATTTGCAGAAAACATCGCCAATGAACTTTTATCTCCATTATTAAAATAAAAATAGCTTTCATGGAAAACAAAGAATAGATTTTTAAAATGGAATTTGTAATAAAGCAGCCATTTCCTAAAGCTTATATCATTTATGCACACTATGTATATGCCCATTGTTAGTACCTCTAGTGTATACCTAAAGGGTTTTCCATTTTAAAGCCACAATGATCACGTTAAAGAAAAGATAGGTGCTTAGTTATTTTCCAGTTAGAGCTTTCAACATGCCTTTTTAAAATTTGGTGATATTTTTTAAAAATTAAAGCAAATGTAAATGTGAAATCTTATAACCATATTTTTATTAGATGTATATATTTACAAATGCTAATTTATGCATGATTTCTAACTTATTATAACAAGTCACAACTCCTTTTTTTAAGACAGTCTAAAATCTTACAAAGAACTTAGGATGTGAGCGTATCCAGACATATTTTAACCAAAAGAAATAGTATGTATTGTGCACAGAGCATTTTGGAAAGCATTTTTCTGCAGAGCTAATGGCAAGAAGGAAAGTCTGAAAGTAGGAAATTCAATTTCCAGATGCATAAGCACCTGGATAAAAGAAGGTTCCCAAGGGAGCAAAGATGCCATAGAGATAATTTTATCAAGGACATCACTAAAGAATGGGTACACGACCTCTGGGTCTTCTCCATCTGGAGATTAGCTTGTCCCTTCCAATGTCAGTCCAAAAGCCACAGGATTCTGAAGACAAAATGAAGAGGGCTTGTTCAAGTTCTCTCTACGGGTTCACTTCTTGCTTCAGTGTGCATTGTCACTGGAATTCAGCCTACAAATGCTCTCAGAACACAAGCTGGGTGTAGAAATGGGCTTGGGCCCGATATTTCAGTGAGTAAAATGCTTACTTTGAAACCACAAGAACCTGAGTTTGATCATCAGATTTAAAAATCAGGGTAGAGGAGGGAGGGTGGCATGAGGTTGTCATCCCAGTGGCTGGAGAGGCAGAGGACAGGGAGGGTCCTTGAGCTTGCTGCTCAGTCAACATAGCTTGCCAGGCAAGTCCAGGGCAAGGAGAGAAAGCTAAGTGGTGCCTGAGAAATGACCCCCAAGGTGGTCACCAGACCTCCGCATTACATGCACACATGCATGTGTTCACACATATGTAAAAAGAATACAAACCACATGTGAACATGCTCCTGGAAAATGTTGACTACTTTTATTTTAATCTGTCTACTGTTGCTTGCATATTTGTGTCGTCCAAAACTTGTGTAGATGCTAAATTACTACGGCAAGAGTACATAGAGACCAAGACCTATTAAAAGGTGATTAGGCTACTGGCATGTTCCACTCTCTGGTGAAATCAGAGACATTATCCAATGGGGTGTGACCCACCTCTTACTGTTGTCTTGTTTTTGCTCATTAATATTGAATTTCCCTGCCTCCAGCATAGGGAAATCCAATAATTCTGATCATTATAAACTATCCACTCTAAAACATTCTATCATAACCACAAAAGTGGACCAAGAAATCGTCTTTGAAATTCACATGGACATTAGGAATGTGATCAAATAACAAAATGAAACAAGGCTTAACTCACTTCTCACACAGTCTGTGTTGTGCATATTTGCTTAGGTAGTTTGTATATTCATTTATTTACTCAAGACATTGTAACTCCAAGACAAATTAAAATGATGACTGGAGTCAAATCTCAGCTCATGCTCATCAGTGAATAACATTCTGTGTTTTTCTTAGAACTTTAGGATAGCTGTGAAACCAATAATTTTTCTGCACAAGGAAAAATGAAGGTGAAACAAATACAATCAAAGTACTTTGAGTAGTAAGAAAAATGAGTAACAATACTAAAAATAGATTAAGCTGACATTTGTGTTTCTGTTAGCTGTGTATGTGTACATCTGTGTGAGAGGATGGAGACAGACAGACAGACATACAGATAGACATATACACAGTAGCTATCTTCATACATAACTCATTTTAAGAATTTTATTTTTATTCCTTCACAGAAAAACCATATCCCTTCAGCGTTCATATTCAATGCATTTTCTAAAAGGCTAAAAGAAAAGATTGCTAAGTAGCTTGTTTACTTAATCAAAGTCTATTAACATTCCAAAAAAGTTAAGTTGTGATGAAATCAGATTTATTTTTATACTTATTAATAATTCTCCTGCTGACACAAGATTAGTTGGCAGCATTCAAATCCATGAATTACTTTTTGCATTGTAAATGATTATTTTGGTATATTTAGAACAAAGAGGAACAGGCTGTCCTGATTTAGGAAAAATTAATGACATATAAATGAAGTTCAATTTTAGTTTTCAAATTATCTACCTTAAGACCCAATTATACCACTTTTAGTCATATACCCAAAGGATGCTTCATCCTACCACAAAGACTCTTGCTCAACTATGTTCCTTGTGATTTTATTCATAATAGACAGAAACTGGAAAAGAACAGATGCCCCTCAACTAAAGAATGGGTAAAGAAAATGTGGTACATTTACGCAATAGAGTATTACTCAACTGTTTAAAAGGAAAGTGATATCATGAAACTTGCAGGCAAATGTATGGGATTAGAAAACATCATCTCGAGTGAGGTAACCCAGACCCAGGAAAACAAACATGATATGTATTCACTTATAAGTGGATATTAGCTACCATCCACAGACCCAGGAAGATTAGGTTAAGGGGAGGGTTCCAGGGAGAAAGCATAAATTTTCCTGGGAAGGGGCAATAGAGTAGATTTTGCAGGTGGACTGGGGACAGGTGGGGATGAGAACTGGAGGCATCAGGTGTGGCTGGAGATGGAGGAAGAAAGGGCAGGGGGAGACCTTTGAAACTGGGGATAGCAGAATATCATTAGGAATCCATTTGTTGATTTTTGCGGGATAGTGTGGAAACCTAGTGCAATAGACGTTTCCTTGATTCTATGAAGATAACCCTAACAAGGACTTCTAGTAATGGAAGATAGAGTCTGAACCGATCATTTACAGCCAGGCAAGGCTTCCAATGGTGAAACCGGGTTACATTGGTTGAATTTTGGGCTTAGACAGTACTGCTAAGATCCCTAAACAACCCAGGCTGATGTAAGGACAGAAGATTGCTCTCTGAAAATTCACAGTGGCCCTACTGCCAAAGCAACATCCACATAGCTCATTGAATATAGAGGCATTGAGTTGGTGTTCATTTGAAGCCTTCACCCCTACATTCTAGTCTCTTTGGCAGGAGAAGGTACTCTGCAGGCTACAGAAAGTGAAACCTGGACACCAACCCAACCACAAAACCCTCTACCTATAATCTGTCCTGCCTACAAGGTGTGTCGGGGCAGTAGTGACATAGAACTCTGGGAGTGGCCAACCAATGATTGGTTTAACTTTAGAACCATAACAAGAGAGGGAGCCAATGGCCCTGGATGGCCAGGAACAGGAGACTGGATAGCCCAGAAAGCTAGAGTAGAACCAAATATGACTGGAAAAAAAATCAACGAAGGGATTCCTAATGATATTCTGCTATACTTATAGATCAGTGTCTTGTCCAGTAATCATCAGACAGGCTTTCTCCTGCAGCAAATAAGAGTGGATACAGAGTCCCATAACCAGACATTATGCGGAGACTCTATAATTGGAGTTCTCTATCAGGTTCCTCCCCTTGGAGTTAAGGGAATCCTTCTGAAGAGTGGTAGGAAAGACTTGGAGTCAAAGGAGTTGAGGATACCAGGGGAACATGCCCAACTGAATCAATGAAGCAGGGCTCACAGAGACTGAAGCAGCAAGCACAGCGCCTGCATGGGTCTGCAAAAGGTCCTCTGCATGTGTGTTATGGCTGTTTGCTTGGTGTTTATGAGGGACTCCTACAATGGGAGGTGTGTATCTCTGGCTCTTTTGCCTGCTCTTAATACTCTTTTCCTCCTACTGGGTCTCCTTGTCCAACAATGATATGAGGACTTTTGCTTTATCTTAGTGTGTCTTGTTTTGTGCTGCTTGGCTGTAATCTCTCAGGGATCTGCTCTCTTTTGAAGGGGAAATGGGAGAGGGAGTGGATCTGGGGAGACAAAAGTAGTGGGGAAGCTAGAAGGAGTGGAAGGAGTGAAAACTCTGGTTGGGAATATATTGTATGACAGAAGAATTTATTTTCAACTAAAAAAATAAATTAAAATTAAAAAGTAAAATAGAAAATAAAACCCCATCATGTAGTATATGGATTTCCAACAAATTAAACTCAAAGTGGGCTGTGTCTGGAAAGTTGCGAGGAAAGAAACCATCTTACCTGGACACTGGTCAGGGTCGTGTACTGGTAAGCCTTGACCACCAGGTAATTAGCTTCCAAGTCTATGAGTCCCAGGATCATGTACTTCCACCATCTTCGTCGCAAAATTGCCAAGAGGTTTTCTTCTCCTATGGTAAAAAGTTAAGAAAAAAATGGCTTAAGTTCTTGGCATATAGCACATTACATATTTAGAATTCTTACATGCTATTGTGTTTTGTACCCATATATGCATTTTTATCAGAAATTTACCTAAAATTTAGTGGCTTAATCTATCAAAGACTCACATACTTTACTTAGGAAATTGTCTTCATGGTCACTTTTCGGTCTTCAAATTAGTTTCTACACTAGGGTGAGACTGAGTAGGTCATTGCTTACTATGGCATATTGAGTGTGTGTGTGTGTGTGTGTGTGTGTGTGTGTGTGTGTGCATGTGTGTGAAAGAATAGCTGTGTCATGAGAAAAGTGAAAGGAAAAATGTTCAAGAAAGGGTGCATTGCACACACAAAAAAACAAATACATTACAAATAGTGCTGCTATGAACGTAGTTGAGCACAAGTCCTTATGGTATGATCCATCCATTGGGTATATACCCAAAAGTGGTATTTCCGGGTCTTGAGGTAGGTTGTTTCCTAATTTTCTGAGAAATCACCATACTAATTTCCAGAGCAAAAGTACCAGTTTGCACTCACACCAGGAATGGAGGAGTGTTCCCTTTACCACAATCCTCTCCAGCATAAGCTGTCATCAGTGTTTTTGATCTTGGCCATTCTACAGGTGTAAGATAGAATCTCAGAGATGTTTTGATTTGCATTTCTCTGATGGCTAAGGATGTCTTTTTCTTAAGTGTCTTTCAGCCATTTTAGATTTTTCTGTTGAGAGTTCTCTGTTGAATTCTGTACCCCATTTTTTATTGGATTATTTGTTCTTTTGATGACAAATTTCTTGAGTTCTTTGTATATTTTGGAGATCAGCCCTTCTGTCTGATGTGGGGTTGGTGAAGATCTTTTCCCATTCTGTAGGCTACCATTTTGTCTTGTTGACCATGTCCTTTGCTTTACAGAAACTTTTCTGTTTTGGGAGGTCTCATATATTAATTGTTGCTCTCAGTGTCTGTGCTACTGAGGTTATATTTAGGACTTAAGTGGTCTCCTGTGCCAATGCATTCAAGTGTACTTCCCACTTTCTGTGAGGTTTAGTGTGGTTGGTTTTATGTTGAGGTCTTTGATTCATTTGGACTTGAGTTTTGTGCATGGCAATAGATATGGATCTGTATTCATTCTTCTACATGTTGATATTCAGTTATGCCAGCACCATTTGTTGAATATGTTTTCTTTTTTTCCATTTTATATCTTTTGCTTCTTAATCAAAATTCAGGTGTTTGTAGGTGTGTTGATTGATATCCAGGTCTTAATTAACTTCCATTGGTCCTCCTTTCTGTTTTCATGCCAATACCAGACTGTTTTCAGTACTGTAGCTCTGAGGTAGAGTCTGAAGTCAGGGATTGTTATAAGTATCTTTATTGTACAGGATTGTTTTGGCTAGCCTTTGTGGGTTTTTTTTTTTTGCTTTTTCATATGAGGTTGAGTATTGCCAGAATCTGGAAAAAACCTAAATGCCCTTCAACCAAAGAATAGATAAAGAAAATGTGGTACATTTACACAATGGAGTACTATACAGCAGAAAAAATAATAACATCTTGAAATTTGTAGGTAAGTGGATGGATCTAGAAAACATCATATTGAGTGAGGTAACCCAGACCCAGAAAGACAAATATCATATCAACTCACCCATAAGTGGCCTTTAGACATAAAGCAAAGAAAAATAAGCCTATCGTCCACAACCCTAGAGAACCTAGACAACAATAAGGACCCTAAGAGAGGCATACACGGGTCTAATCTACATGGGAAGTAGAAAAAGACAAGATTTCCTGAGTCAATTGGGAACATGGGGACCATGGGAGAGGATTTAAGGGGATGGGGAGGGAGAGAGGGAAGTGGAGAAAAATAGATAGCTCAATAAAAACAATTTAAAAAGAAAAAAGAAAGAGGGGAAACTGTAATCAGAATATGTTGCATAATAAAAGTCTATTTTCAATAAAAAGAACTTTATTAAAAACACAAAGCTCAGACAGTCCTAAATTTCAAAACTGTGTTAGAGCAGATACAGACCAAAAGAAAAGTGTCCCATTTGAAGCAGTTTTGTATGTGTAGTAAGACTTTAAGATGGCATCCAAAAGATTCTTCTGCTTGAATGTCCATGTCTAATCTAGATATGTGTGAATGATGTGTAGAGAGAAAGATTCAGGACGGGAAAAATTACCACCCGACCCTTCTCTCGGTGCTACCAACAATTTCGTCTCCTTGTCTGACATTCATAGAACCAGGACAGGCTTTAGATATCTTCAATCTTTTTGTGATATGTATTTCAAGCTGAAATAAATCTTATTTCTAAAAATGACCCAATGATAATTACATGCAGATATTTGTGGCCAGCTTGTGAAGTCTTCACAGACAACATCGAATATATAGATATTCTAATTGAATAGTGATGTATATATATGACTCAATATTGTTTGACAAATTATTCCAACATACAGATATTTAAAACAAAGAAAAATGTTTATTGTGTTCTGGTTTCAAATGGTCAAGAATCTGGGTGCAGCTTAACTGAATGATTATGATTCAAGACTTTGCTCCCCGATCCATACAACCCCCAGCAACCAGAGAGTAGCAACCTCTCTCACCAATATCCCTTCCCCACTGCCTCTGCACCAGAGACCCCAAGCACCACAGGCCCAGACTGTACCTGGACCAATGGAGGGGGGGTCTGAGATCCCGGCTGGAGACTCCTGCTCTTTAAACCCTAACCCCCATTCCTCCCACACCCATGGCAACACCAGCAACTAGGCAGTGCACCCTCTCTTGCCAACCATCCTCCACCTCTGCACCGTGGACCACAGGCCCCACTGGCCCCAACTGTACCTGGAGGGACAGCACCAATGACTACTGAGGCCACAGGCCCCAAATGAATCTGGAGGAAGAGTGGCCACCTGAAATACAGACCCCACCTGTACAGTTGGAGGAAAAGCTGGGTAATGGCCGTGTAAGAATGCATTCAACAACATAAAGAGCAATATGGCACCATCAGAAACTAGTGGCCCTACATCAGGAAGACATGAACAGTCCAACACAGATAAAGCAGAAGAGAACAACCTTAAAAAAACTTTATGGAGACAGTGGAGGCCCTTAAAGAAGAAGTGAAAAATTCCCGTAAAGAAATGGAGGAAGATTTAAGAGTTCAGTAAGTTCCAGGCAGACTGCCAGCCAGGGACTCAGTCTCATCTGAAGGATTGATGAGGAGGGGGTCTTTGGCTGTTGGAAGCGTTTTGACCATTACCAGAGGGGACTGAATGTGGAACCAGCCCAAGAGAGAGAAGTGTGTCACAGTCAACAAAGTGAAAGGAGTTGGAGATCTGAAGAGCGCTTTGACATGGGACACGGAAACGCAGAGTCTGAATTTGTCCTGCTGGCTTTTGGTCTTGCTTTGATTCAGTATTTCTTCACCATGCTCCCTTCTTCTAATGGTAACGTATATCCTACGCCACTGTGTGTTGGGATCATGTGATTTGTTTAGTATTTTATGGAGGTTACAGTTAAGAAATTGCCTTGAATCTCAGAAGAGACATTGAACTTTGAAACAGTGGTAGGATTGAAAGATTATGGGGACTTTGAAGTTGAACGAAATGCACTTTGCATGATGATAGAACTGCAAACCTATACGGGCTGAGGATGTAATGTGGTGGTTTTAATGAGATGGGAGTTCCAGCTGATGAGCTATGAGGGAAGGATTAGGGGGCATAGTTTTGTTAGGGAAGATGAGTAACTAGGCATGGGCTTTGAGGTTTCAAAAATCCATACCAGGCCCTGTGTTTCTCTTTCTTTCTGCAGTTGCAAGTGGATTAGGATGTAAAGCTCTCGGGTGCTACTTCAGCACCATGCTGCCTACATGTTGCCACACTCCTTGTCACGACAATAATGGATTAAATCTCTGTTATGGTTATTCTTAGCAGTCAACTTGACTATGTCTGGAGTTAACTAAAACCCAAATGGGTGGGCATAACTATGAGGAATTTTTCATTATTAAATCATTTGAAGTGGAGAGAGCTAATCTGCATCTTTGAGGTAGGAAAATAAATGTTTAATCGGGGTCTTTTGCTGTATGAAGATTCACCTTAAATCTGGACCAAACCTTCTGGCATCAGCCTATATGAAGGAATGATGGAAACTTGCTCTCCTTGCCAGCTTGCTCTTACCCTGACTGCCAAGTGCAACTATAAAGTCATCGGTCATTGTCACTGACATTAAAGCCAACTTCTCTGGGATTCCAGCATATACGAAGATCTGCTAAGAAATTCAGCCTTGTGGACTGAAAAACTACTGGATTCTTGAATCTTCCATTCAAAGGCAGCCAGTGTTAGATTAACCAAATGACACACTATAAGTATTTCTTAAAAAAAAAAATCTAAAACTAAAAGCAATCCTCCGATCAATACTTTCTTTTATAAGAGTCGCCTTGGTCATGGTGTCTCTTCAGAGCAATAGAAACCCCAAAGAAGTACTGTTCCTCTGGTGTCTCAATAAAGTACCAGCATACACCTCTTTTTTAAAAAATTATTTTTATTGAGCTATATATATTTTCTCTGTTCCCCTCCCTGTCTCTTCCCTCCCCTTCTACTCTCTCCCCTCCCCTTCGACCCTCCCCCATAATCCCCATACTTACAATTTACTCAGGAGATTTTGTCTTTTTCTACTTCCCATGTAGATTAGATCCATGGTTAGAACTCTTAGGGTTCTTTTTGTTTTGTAGATTCTCTGGAATTGTGAATTATAGGCTGGCATTTTCTTTACTTTATGTCTAAAAGCCACTTATGAGTGAGTTGATATGATATTTGTCTTTCTGGGTCTGGGTTACCTCACTCAATATGATGTTTTGTAGATCCATCCATTTGCCTGCAAATTTCAATATGTCATTATTTTTTTCTGCTATGTAGTACTCCATTGTATAAATGTACCATATTTTCCTCATATGTTATTCAATCAGGGGCATTTAGGTTGTTTCCTGGTTCTAG